CAGGTGGTCACTAAAGCAGCAAAAGACTTAACTCCGTTTCGTTGACAATCAGCCGTAGACGAGAGTCTTCATGCATGGTTGATTGTCAACGAAACGGAGTTAAGTCTTTTGTCAAATCTGCTTTTTGCTACGGCAGGCACCCAGTGAAAACGAATTCGTTTGTTAAAATTATGAAAATGTAAGGGCTACTTTAAACAAACAGAACTTTGTTATTCCTCGCTCATTTTTCCTGATTGAGGTGTCATATGAAAGGGCAGAAACTCAACTTTCTAGAAATGTGAATTTTTCTTCGAAATTCAGATACCGCCCGCCAAATCTCTTTTTGGTTTCCTTCCTTCAAATTGCTTTTAATCACTCATGCGTGAAATATGCATCATCTGAGTAGCATCAACTGAAAGAGGAGACTCTAAGCTTTCCAAATATGTATCATTCATTAATTATGGTTGTGATTAAGTTATGATAAAACATCGATACTTCTTGGTTTTGTTTTTTCTGGGACGCACTGTATACTCTATGTTGAAATCATTGTTACATATATACATTGTGTGTCATATTGTACTGTTGAGAAGGAAATAAATGTTAATAAATACAAATATAATAAATAATAATACAAAACACTTACCCTCTGCTTTTGATCTTTGGGAATGACGCTTGCAAAGGCCGAGCCGATGGACTGGGTCAAGGGATTGGCGTTGGACGGTCGATGGTGACCGCTGCTGCTGTAAGAGTTGTGAGACCCTTCATCGTCTTGGCTGAAGGTCAAATGAACTGCTTCAAACTGAAAGGAAAACAAACATGAGGAGTCAGACATTTGTAGAAGAAAAAAGAGAAAAGACGGGCATTCCCCAAATTTGAAAAAGTCCACACCTCATGCAGGGGTTAATCTCCCTCTAAACAAAGGGAGATAGACAGAGGTCTAAATTTCCCCTTTATTTAATGTGACTTAGACCAAGCATTAAGGCCCTGTTCCAAAAAACTTGTTATCAATAACAAGTTACAATAACTGTTCTAAGCTACTGAAATCGTGGCATTTGATTGGCTGAGATCCAAATTTTCAAAGAATTTTAGAATTTGTTATTAATAACAAGTTTTATGAAACACACCTCAGGTTAGACTGAACTAGTTAACTATTACAAACCATCATATAACACTTATTTCATTTTCTGCTTCCTTTTCTAAGAAATCAATGTTTGATTCACAAATAAATAACACACAAGAAGCACAAAGACTGGTAACATACCTTATCTCTGCATATGCTGTAGACTATCATAGCCTGCATGTCTTGGATGAGATATTGGAACCAGTGCACTGCTGACTTGGTTAATGATTTCCTCCATTGCTGGGATCTGCAAAGACAAATGTAGGATTAGTGAAACAAAGCTCATTGCAAATTCTTGAACGATTTAAAGACATGAACATGGAACTAACTAGGAAATACAATTTGTAAGCGTTGCATTCATACATTGACAATCATTGTCTACAATCACACAAGTCTTACAACACAATATATCCAGGCCAGTTTGTATGTAGCACTATTTAAGCCAAACAGACAAACAGCCAAACAGATCAAATTCATAATTTTGTTAAACAACGATCATGAGGAAAGTTTGACAAGGGGTTGAGTGGCACAACATACATTACAGCGATGGCAAGGCCTCTTGACCAAGTAATAGCTTTTCTACATTACGTAATTCATAGCAACACTGCAAATTTCTTTCACAATAATGTTAAGAATTTCAGAGAGTATCCTATTCCACAGATCTGACAACCTTCCATGCTGTAGCATTTGCTTGTAATTCATGTTTATTAAATTTTATTTTTGTTTGTGACTGAGACAACCTCTTGCTTTTGATTTGTGCCAAGAAATGTCATAAAGGAAGCTAAATTATATCTTATTTGTAATGAATGTCCCGGTGAATATGTGCTTAGTTTTGCATTACTTGGGAAAAAGAAGTTACCATCTTGTAACTTACGTGGCAGGAATGTAGTTCTTCCAGGTTTGGTCCAGTCGGTCCAGCCGACGTGCCATGGCAACCATCTCGGGGTCAACGGACTCTCGCATCTAACAGAGAAGAACAATGAATAAACTATATCAATAAAATTATCAATAATAAAATGGTTGTATCGAGGGAGAAAGACAAAAAAAAAAATTAAAGCAAGTTTTGATTTTCTTTTTACAACCCATAAAATGGCAACAATTTTTTAAAAAATAAGTGATACATATTACTTCCTAAGACAAAGTTTCAATAATAGTGTTTAGCGTCCAATTTTTCTACTGAGATTTCAGTATAAAGACAAGCTTTTCCTTCCACCAATATATCTGATGCAATATCAAAACCTGGGTGGTTGAGACCACCTATGACAGCGAAATGGTAAATCTTTTCTTACATGTAGTTGGCTACAAATTCTTATCTTTTTCTGAAATGTATCACTCACTCTTGTACTTTTGACTGCAAGTTGTTGCACGAAAAATGAAAAGTTAAAGGTAGATGGTCATCAGTTTCCATAAGCAGTTGGTCATAATTCACTGACACCAGATTTGGTGGAAATACCATTATTGGGTGTACAAGTCTCGCACGAAGCAAGCCTGTAGTCCAATCAAGGAACAACACCCGGTCTCTCTGAGAGTCTTTGGTCGAGGCAAATGTAAGATAATGACTCTTCCATAATGCAGAGCAATTACATAAGGCATGTTGGTCATAAAACTGAAGGTTAATCCTGGTGATTGACAGCGCCTGTTATTGGGTAACACCCAAATGATGGCAAATTCCCCATGAGAGCCTACTACTATGACTCTTTAAAGGGTGCGTAGCATGACAAGACTACGTGTCTTACCTGTGGCCTGACTCGGGACCAATCACGTATAATACGACTATGGACGACGCAACCGCAGCATTCACGTGCGTGCAACATACGCGAAACCGAAGCGTGAGGATAACTTTGGTCTGTTTCACAAACGCTAGCGCACTGACCGTTAATCAAGTCCATTCTTTTACGTGCATTTATCAAAAAGAAGTCGTAGATGGCGTTAACCTGTATTTGCCATGCTACACCCCCTTTAAGCAATATCATTAACGGCACATAATTAGTTTATTTTTTTAATTTTCCCACAAAAGACAATAAATCCTTGTTGCCCACCTGTTCCGGCTCCTGCTGTGCGACCTGTACCTTATCACATAGGACCGACACGTCGGCCATAAGACACGAGTAGAAGGTTGAAGCTGCAGACTCCATGATCTCTACATGGTAGCTGTAATGTGAACATAAGAAAGAAAATTTGTTGTCATATTAGAGTCAGAGACAGTTAGAACAGATTTGGTTTGGTTTGAAATTTTTTGACCTGACTGCTAAGAATGCATGGCATGCCTCTCAAGTAAGCAACCAGGGGACCAACGGCTTTAAGTCCTCTCTGATGGACATGGTTCAGAGGATTTATGCCTCACCAAAGGGCACCAGCGAACGGACCATGTTTCGAACCCAGCAACAAATTCTTTAGGCGTGACAACATCATTATTGTTATCATATACATTGTAATGGTTACATACTATGTAAATGTAGTTTGATACATGTACATTATCATTTCATTAAATTGTGTGTATTGTTAACGTTATTGCTCAGGTTTGACCAGCCTTTTATCTTTTAAAAATATGACGATGACTTCATCACTGATAAGACCCCAGCATTATTATTATTACTTATACCCGTCTTATCCCATTAGGCCCATAGCACTTAATGAAAATTTTAGAAACATAAATAAATGTAATAAAAAGAAAAAATTACAACTACAAACTGCAAAAAAAGATGTGTTTTTAAGGCTTTTCTAAAGGTAATAACGGATAGAGACAATTAAAACACTACAAATGAGATTCAATTCTGCACAAGATGAAGCAACATAATTGCGTTGACTACTTACAGTTGGAATAATTGCTGATAGTTTTCTTGGATGTACTGGACCTCAGATTTGATGTGTGCGATTAGCTTGCTGATCTATTGAGAGAAAGCAAATCAAACCAATCAATGATATGGTAAAAGGATAATTGAAAATAAACTCTGGCTACAACTCTCAAATCAATTTAAGTATTACAAAAATATATAAAAAAACATAGTCAAAACTACTCTGCTTGGTACATCATACTCCTCCTACATACCATATTTGCCGGCGATAAGGCCGCACCCCCGATTTTGACATTAAAAAAAAAAAAAAAAAATTGTCGGAGGTGGGATATGAACCCGTAGAAATGTAGATTGTGACCCGAGTCACCGCCTTAGACCGCTCGGCCATCCCAACCGTGATGATTTCACATGCAGCTTTCTCTTGTGTATGCCTAGGCCTATTGCGCCATAGCTTTGCTCGTGCAAGCCGAGGATTGATGTTGCTTTAGCTATGGCAAAAACTTAAATCTAGATCTACCAGTAGAGCTTGGTTGGTAAGTTATGAATTTTATTTACGAGATTGACAAAACTTTCCCCTTCATTTAAAAAATATAACACTTAATTGTCGGTAAGACATGTGTTATTCTAGAAATGTCCATCGCCTTTCATTGTTGTCCCATATGTACAATTTCGTGCTGCTTTTCATTGTTTTGACTTGCATTTTTTTTTTTTTACTCTGTCGCCGCAAAGGCCGCACCCCGACTTTTTGATATTTTCTCTTACAAAAATACTGGGCCTTTACGCCGGCAAATACGGTATCCAAATGTATCTTAAAAGAAATAAACTAGCAGCCCAACAACAACAAAACGAGAGAAACAGTACAATATATAAAATGAAAAGAGTAATATAATATTATTTCTTGAAAAGGACTTCAATATATGATGCCTAACATTTTTTGCCATATATGTTCTGCATCTTTTTTTTTTAAAGATGTTTTTAATGTATCTTCTGAATATTACAAATCAACTAAGAAAGCAAGATGCTATGAAGCTCCCATATTCTATATTGTCTAATATTTTGGAGAAAGAGAAATGAATTATAAAGTATATGGATTTTGATATCAATTATAAGGTGCATGTGTATATGTACATACAAGAAGTAAACTTTTACACACAAAAACAAGATTAATATACAAATAGGTTGTACAGAATGCAAACGTACCAGTTCAGCAGAGACTGGGGAAGAGTAGGCATTGAGACGAAGCTCGGTGGTCAGACGCAGTTTATGACCGTTGTAGCTATTCTGAACACTCTCCTGTTAGAGTAGGATAACAAAAATAAGACAAGAAAAGACAAGAGTTCATTAGAGTCATACTAATACGACAAATACCTGACCCACACAAGATCAATAATTTTTTAGTTAGTTTTAAAGTTTTTATAGCACTTCGTTCGTTCGTGTCTCCTTAGATCAAGATTAATGTAATCTTGATCTTCGGAGTAGTTGCTACAACCGGCCGTGTCAGACACGTTGCCCCGGGGTGCGAGATAGGACTCTTGTAGCGTGCCCCAAACGGCCAAGAATAAATCGATTTGGAGTAGGCGGAGTTGGTTTGGGTGTAACAAATGTGTATAAAGAATTGCGTGTTAAAGCTACAACTAAGGTATGCAAAATATTGATTGAAAATTGACAATCAATTATTTGGAGCACCTGCAATCCATGTTCTTCACATCTTAACAAAGAAAAAGCATCCATTCTTCATATGTCCATTGTATACTAGGAAGAGGACAATTTGTATTCAATCAAAATACAGGGCATCATTCCACAAAAGTGTCTGAACTTCACAGACATCCCATAAAAAGGTGTAATAAACTTGTACTTATATAGGTACTTAAGTAAATGGCTAGGACCCGGTTTCATAAAACTTGTTATCAATAACAAGTTACAGATAACTGTTATAAGCTACTGAAATCGGAGCATTTGATTGGCTGAGAGCAAATTTGTCATAGAATTCCAGCATTTGTTACCATTTATTATTATGGGTAACATGTTTTAACTGGGCCCAGAGCCCAGATCATTATGTAACTAATCCAGGTAAATTACACATTAGTACAAATAGATAACAGCAGCATTTATTTGATGAACTACAAAGTTCATTGGATTTCCTAGAAATCAAGCAGATAAGACATCGGATAACAGTATTTGACATATATTTTTAAAAAAATAAAATGAGCCTTTTTTGTACTGCCAAGTACAGGGCAATTAATTTCATTGCCCCCAACTGACAGGTCATGTGATGGCATGTTCATGTCAGTTCAAAGGGCACTCGATGACAACAAACTATCTTAAAGCATTTTTATTCCATCTGAGTGCAACTATATGACAGCTACCGTGCAAGATGGATGTAAATAGATGTACTTTGTATTGTTTAATGAAAATTATTTATGAAGTGATGTAACAGACACAAAATAAACAGTACAAAGATTAGTACAAATAGAGGAGCATAAGAAATGGCCTTGTCTACCCTCTTTAAAAGTTGACTGTGTAGCTACATTACGGGTTATATTTTCTGTAATTCACTTGAATTTAAATACACGTACCAACCACTTTTAAGAGGTTATTCATCGCAATAAATCATGTTTTTCTACCTATTTCTGTTGGTCTGTGTCTGTCTCCCCCTTACCCCCCCCCCCCCCCCCCTTTCTCTCTCTTTCTCTCTCTCTCTATCTCTCTCTCTCTCTCTGTACTTGTCTTTATTTGTCTCATCATCTCTATATTCGTCTTTCTGTTTCCCTTTCCCACTCCATCTTTCTCTCTGTGCCCTTGCATTTGTCAACCTCTACATCAATTTCCCTCTCCTATTCTCTCTCTCTCTCTCTCTCTCTCTTCATAGATCATTTTCCCTCTCTCTCTCTTTATCTCTCTCACACTGTCTTTACTTCTCTCTGCCCCCTCCTAAAAGAATTCACACACACCTTTCATTAAAATAACATAAAGCCTTACCTCCCCCTCCCCCCACCTGTGCCAAAAAAATAAATAAAAATAACTAAAAACAGACTTCTTACCTTGAGACTCTGTGTGATGATAGCTTCCAGGTTGCCTTGGTGACGACCCAGCAGTATAGCGCTCAGGGCAAGAATGTCAGAGAGATTAGTGATCAAGCACACTGTATAAAAAAAAAGAGAGGGGCAAGAATTATTATATTAAAAAACATGCTCCTGTGAAACTGCACCAAAGAGAATATTAAGACACTGAGCGTCAGAACGTCAGACTCACTGGCAGTTAAGCATATTATGCAAGAGAGGAAAAGAAGTTGCTCCATCACATCAAAATAATTAAAGATATATTTTTTAAACATCAAGTTTCCAATAGCAAGGCAACTCTAACATGCTTGTATCTCCACCCTTTTAGACCTTTTGCAGGATTTAAACTGAAGTACATGTAGTACAAATTGTTCCAACCCAAGGCTTGGCAGCAAACAAGCCATCAGTATGATATCTACCGTCTGACTCAAAGTTACACTTTAACATACTTAAAAATTAACTAAGAAAGATTTTTTTTTTCCTTGTGAAACCACCTCTTAACCTTTCACACACAAAGTCAATTTGATGTGGTGGACCCATTTTCACGTACCAACTCTGTGCTGCGGCGTTCTCTCTTGCAGTAGTTTCTCTAACAGATCACAGCATCTCTCTTGAAATTGGGTTAGGGCACGACGTAGCAACTCATACTGTAGATATAGGATCATAAGAAATTAATATGCAATGTCTGAATACATTACATGTATGTGCACGAAGTAGAAACTTGATACATTCAAACCTGCTTTAGCAACCACCTGTCTACAAAGACCACATTTTTTTTGTTTCCCTTGAATATGGTTTCTCATTGTTACCTGTGCTAAAGTAAAGGAACCTGTACATAAAGACCACCTGCCTATAAAGTTCACTTTTTATGTTTCTCTCAAGCGGTCTTTATATACAGGTTTCAATGTATGTACAAGATTGAAATATTAGTTTTCATACATTTGCAACAAGAATTGCATTATGACAGAAACTAACTAACAGTATTAACTTCTAATTGATCAAATGGTACGTTTTCTGGAAATTTCTCAGGAGTTGTGAGATTCTTTGGACCAGCAAAGTTACAATGAAATTGTGAAACCTTGCTGAAAAAAACAATGAAAATAGCACAGACACATAATGCATACACATGACTATTCAATGAAAGATAGTTTAGTCTGACAGATACTATGGCATCTTCTAATCTGAAAAAGTACAAAGGCTTTTGTAGGATAGATATTCCATTAATATTTAAAGGAACTGGATCGGCAGTTTCCATGTGCAGAAGGCCATAATTCGCTGACACCAGACTTGGTGGAAATACCATTAATGGGAGTACAAATCTGCACACAGCAAACCCGTTGGTCAGTCAAGAATTACCCCCTAATCGCTCGGAGAGCTTCGGGTGAGGGAAAAGCGAAGCATTACATAAGGTCTTATGGTCATAAAACTGAAGGCTAACCCTGGTGATTGACAACACCTGGGTATGTATTTGCTCCTTATGTTAAAATTACGCTTTGAAATCTTCAAGAGGTACACCACTCAATCTTAATTTTTATTGTTTTCCTAGGTGGAGGGGGCAGGGGCAGGGCAGAGGAGCAGCAGAGGGGGCAGAGGGAGTACAAGGTGGAAGGGAAGGGGGCTGAGTATAAACGAGAGCCTACCTCTTTTCTGACCATCGTAACCCTGGCTTGGTGTTTGGTAAGAAGATCTTGGATTCCCAGTAGAGACTGTGACATATGCTTCAAGAACCAATCATCGCTCTCAAACCACCTGCAAATTAGACGTTCAAATCAGAGAAAGCAATTAATTTATATGCAAAACTAATAAAATAGAAGAAGCACAGTAACTTCTAAAAAAAAAATCAGCTACTATTTTAAAACCTTGTTCACATTAAATCAATTCAAATCAAGGGTGATTCAAACTGAACTAGGCCTGGTCATTCTGTAAATAAAATTTAAACCGTAAATAAAATCTAGTATCATGGCAAAAGAGAAAATGAATAAAATGTCCACCAACCATCCAATTAAATAACACAAACTAGGTTTACACATCATCATCAAGAAAGAAGAATTTATGAAATGTACATGTAGCTACCTAATTGGAACAAGTTACGGTATTTTTTTTTTCAAATCACGATTTATACCAAAAATAATAAAACATTTAATAAACAAGGAGGGACCAGCCACTGATGTTTTATAACACGTAAGTAAAATGCAATAAACTGAATAAGTATATCAATTAAAACGAAACATAGCTTGCCAAGGCAAATTGTGTGCCTAAGTAACCCCAATTGAAATATTTTACTTACTCTTTGCTTGATAATTGTTCCAAATAAACAGCTCTTCTGAAGACTTCACCCTGTATAGAAATATCAAGTAAACATAAAATCAAATTGTGAAGAAAAAAAAAGCTGATATTCCTGTCCTTTGAAATGCAACTTAATTTATGATATGCTTATATATTTTGCACCCTAAAATACTTTGATTACTTTTGGACCTTTAAGATTGTATAATTACAAATAAATTTAATTTTCTAAATTATATTGCAAATGTCTTTTGATATTCATTTTATGTATTAAGCATTTGTTTCCATGTTTTGGTTGAGTTATGGAAATAAAATTATTTGAACTGACATTGAAACTCAAAAATTACATCATAAATCGATACTCACAATTCCATACTGAAAGTGAAATTCTCGGAGAAGACGTCTAGAGCTGGACAATAGAGGGCAACCTGTAGACGGGCCTGCTTTTAGCACCTTGTCATGTCTGTTGAATTCATCAGAGTGAAATAAACCCATCATTAGGTAATGATCATGGTCAGCATTAAAGTCAATCACAAAGTCATACGCCAGAAAACAAAGGTTAAAGACATCATGGAGAAAGTCAGAGAATCAAAGTAGAGATGGGCTGGGCATGTAGCAAGACTTCAGGACAATAGATGGTTTGCTGTGTGCAGACTTGTAGTCCCATTAATGGTTTTTCCACCAAGTCTGGTGTCAGCAATTAACAAAGCAAGGTTACTTGTGTCGCGATATGTGTTTTTTAAAGACACAATTTGAGAAAACCTTGAAAGAATAGTGTAATATTTGGAGAAGCAAGATTGTTGTCTGGTAAAAAGTTCACTACCAACAACAGATCTCAAAGTTCAACAAACTTTCCTATCCTCTAGATCCTCTAATCATATGATTACAGAAAATATGGCCCTGGACCGTAGCGTATTGATAGAGATAGTTGCGACACATGCATGCACGTCTATGCAATGCCTGGCCAATCAGAAGCAAATTCCGGTGACTATCTCTCTAAAGAAGCTATGCCCTGGACATCTCCAGACGCTGGCACATGTACAGTGCATATTAAATCTGATCATTAAAATGAATGTACAGAAGGGTGAAAAAAAACAAAAAATGACCAGAAATAATGGATTTTTTATGGTTTCATGATAATTAATGGTTTAAAATGGCATAATTTAAATCAAGATACATTTACCGTAATAAATGGTGTATAAACCGCACCATTTAAAAAAAAAAATTTTTTTTAAGTTTCGATTTATGCCCCTCCACCTGGCGCTATGCCTGGCAATGCCTCCCAGCTCAGTAATCAGTGTGTTGACTCACCACTAGGAAACTAGAACACCACTCAAATTTGTCTTTTATCTTGGTTTGAAAGTAATCTTTCTGATAGATCTCAATATGTAGTTTATAATAATAATTCCTACACACGGTGTACCACAAGGTTCTATCCTACATGTAGGTCCTCTACTGTTTTTTAATTTACATTAATGATCTTACACATTCAGCTGCACCTCGCAGTTAAATGAAAGGCCTTCCCGCGTGGGTTTTTTTAACACGGACCTGGCTTGCTGTCGACAAAGTCGGCAAAAAAACAAAAAAAAAGAAAAAGAGGGGTGCGGTTAATACACGAGGGCGGTTTATACAACGTTAATTACGGTATGTCATAATATGCATCAATTTCTTACTTTAGTAGAAGCAGGAGGAGGTCTCGATACATATCCCGCATGTTAGACCAGTAGGATGCGCGGCACACCAAGGGGTCAAGGTTCGGCAGCGGACCTTTCCAAAAGCGGTTGATGAGGGCGCTGATACGTTGACCCTCCTGCTGCTGCCAAAGGTCGTAAGCATTCCTCGTCTGCAAGCATTACAAAAAGACATGCAAAACTTTTGTAACCTTATCATCATTCGAATCATTTAAAACATTATATAATTGTCAGAAGCTATTAAACAGAAGTTGGGTTTCAGTGTAGATAAAGATGAAAAATAAATTTTGTGAGCTTTTTGATCATGTAAACTGTTTCGCATATCTACATTACACACCATTTCTTTCATCTCAATTTGTTTCATAGTGCCATAGATCTAACGTTTAACGCCAACATTTTTAAATCTATCCACGTTTTTCAAAGAAAATTTAGAAAACTAAAAAGAAGCACGATATAAGATTCATGTATAATCCAGACCAAAGATTTCAGTGTATTTTCAATATTTTGAGACTCTTCATGTAATATTTGCTCATTTACGATAAAAACAAAACTGTAAAGCCCTTTTAACACATGATGCATGGACTTGACATGTACATATGGCTTTTCCGACACCCACATGCCACTTAGGTTCAATGATCGTTTTCAAAACTTAAAACCTTTTTTTTCTTTTCTTTTTTTCTGAGTGGTTAGTTCCTGTCATGTGATGATGAGTATTCCAAAAGAGTTGAACGAGACAATAAGAATTCCCAAATCTACATCTATTGCAGTTTGAGAAATGTGCGGAGGGAATGAGGGAGAGAGGGAGAGAGAGAGAGAGAGAGAGAGAGATAGAGAGAGAGAGAGAGCAAGAGAGAAAGAGAGAGAGAGAGAGAGAGAGAGAAATAGAGAGAGAGAGATAGGGAGAAAGAGAGAGCGAGAGAGAGAGAGAGATAGGGAGAGAGAGAGAGCGAGCGAGAGAGAGAGGGGGAGAGAGAGAAAGAGACTGTACTTTTATTGTATTATAACTTTGTAAACATATACATACATATTTATTACATATATATTTAAAAATACAAAACATCAAGTGCATTTCAAACCGAACTCATTCCTAAAAACTGTCTGCACAGGACACGTCTGTCAAAATACCTTGAAAAATAAGTTCAATATTGATATTTCACAATCAAGTTTACAAGGATTGAGGAAACAAAACGTGCCCTTTGTCCCCTCAGCAGTGTACTTGCTGATAAATCCTATACCATCCAACGAGTAGAAAGCAAGGGTAGTTCTGAAAAAATATTGCACCTTTATTCTTGTAGCCAGAGCAATTTGTGATTATTGATCACTAAATTTGTCTGTCCAAAGTGAAATAGATCATGTATTACATCAATTGAAAGCTTATGAGCCATAGATTACAATAATATCAACTATATGCCATTTTAGTGTCTGTCAGAGGAGTAACAGGTCTCTGAAAACTCAAAATCTAAAGCTTTAAAAATAGGAAGTTGTTGACCTAAAAAAAACCTAGCTATTGACCTGATGAAATCATCTGATGTGTAGCACCCGATATTCAAATGACTTTAATAGCAAGCATGGCTCATCGCCTAAGCTACAACAATAATGATCAGGTCCACATATTTTGTTGTTACCGTTGTGACCCGTAATTTGGAAGGGTGCAGAAAATGATGTTTTAATAAGCTTTTGTGCAATAGTAAAAGAGAAAATATTTGTAACTCCTTTATATTTGTATTCTATGTTCATTTAGCTTTCCAGTGAAATAATGTTGTATTTTCATCGGATAGGGTCTTTAAACTCTCTAAGTCACACAACATTCATGAAGAATCAATACAAGTCATGTTTTCCCTTCTAATTTAATGTATGGTTTACTATCCTTGAATTTGTGATATACTATTGATAAGTATATAACTGTAGATAGCCTAAAGGTAATATAATCAATCGTCAATTCAATGAGAAATGGATGAGGATTTATACATTTATTCATGAGTTTTATGAATCATTCATACATGTTAGGTACTTAAGATACACAGATGCACTGTAATGTGCTGAATCAGATTTGAATCTGTTACTAGCGTAACAATTACATTGTAAGCACTTTGGTTGGTGGCATTGTATGGTGCTCCATAAGGATTTATCATTATTATTATCAATGTAAACAAGAAGATTATTATCAATATACGGTAAACAACAAGATTATATTATCTACTCGGAAGTATTGTAATCTCACCTCAAAATCCTGTGGTTTGTAAAATGGATGACTGTTGGTTTGTAGAAGTGAGAGACGCCCCATCAGCTCTTCAACCAGATGCTGTAAAAAATGAAAATAATAATCATGAATACAGTGACATTGAAAAATAAACATACACGTATCATAAATACAGTTGAAACATAAATACAGTTGAAATAATATATATATTAACTATTGAACAGAATATCTAGAAAAAAATGTAATAATAATGAAAACAATAACAATACTGGTTTCAGATTTTCCATTGACTGACCAAAGCGCTTTAATACAGTATTATTATTACCCATGTCGCTGGATTCAATTACTTTTCTGCACATTAGGTGCACGTTCTCCACTCCCTGGGGAGCATTTCAGCTAGTCATCTATTTTAGCGGCACGCACTGATTAAAACATATACTGTAAACGCTGTTATTTTCCCGTGATTTATTTTTCACGCTGAGCGACCCCAAAACATATTAGCGGGTTCTTAAATTCTGTTGCCCGCAATTCAGCCCGTTCAAAACACACATAAGAAGTTTTGCAGTTTTAATATTCGCAGAAAACGACTATAGCACAAAATCCCTGAAAATTAAAGCACCGCAAATATTACCACGTTTACAGTAGCTGAATGAGGAATCTATTTTGGAAAACCCACCTTAGCTGGAGGCTTGTTTCCAAGCCCTCTATTGATGTAATCATCGTAGAAGAGATGCCTCTCCTCGCTGAGCCCAAACGCCTCCTTCACCAGGACGCACAGGGTCTCCTCTTGGACCATGGAGTCCCCCTCGTCTCCCCCTCCATCAAGGCTCAGGGAGCCAGGAGACGGGGGAGGGGAGGTGAGCAGGGATGATGCCCCGCCCCTCCCGCCCCCGCCGTGCGGGGAGGAGACGGAGCTACTGGGGCTGGAGAGGGCGGAGGTTGGGAGTCGGCTGCCGAGGACGGGGAACTGGGCGCAGAGAAGGGCGTGCCTGTAGACCATCAACTCCTGGAGTATAGAAGGAAAGTGAGACCATTCGTTTTCAAATTTCAAAATATCAAAGAATACTAATAGTCATGCCCCTTTTTGTCTAATCAATTTTTTTAAACAAAACCTCTTGATCAATAAGAGATTTGTTTGATGCATATTTCCTTTAATATCAATATACTCAAAATGTATAACTAGGCAACCTATGCCAAAGGTTATTACTACATAGAGGGGAAAACAGATCAAGTATTCTTTTAAATATATTCAGCACTCAGCATTGTTTTACCTTTATTAGATTTACTTCAGTATATCTCATATTTGCAATCACAAACAAGACATTATACTTTACATTATACATTATACTCATCAGAATAAACCAAGAATGGTAACTTTCTGTACACTATTTTTCTCCATGCAGAACAACATGAGGTGCTTTCTTCAGTGGGGACTTCACAAGGTTTGAATGCCAACCCACATTTCAAACCCTGAATATATTCATTCACAGATCCAGGGAGTTCCACATGAACATGTACCCCCCCCCCCCCCGACACACACACACACACTCAAACACACCTACATATTCCAGACATCAAGAAAATGTGCTCCCAGTTTGTTCCCCCGTCCTTTCCTTTCTTTTTTTTAAATATAGACCCCAAAAGGAACATGTACCCCAAAAAATAGAAATCTGAAAAACTTGAATTTTGTGGCTTATAAGAGAATAGACTATTTACTAACATTTCAAATTGTATGCATACTCTTTAAACAAAGGTTGTTCTAGACAACCTGAAAGCTTGCCTGGCATAGCAACAAGTAATGTATGCAGACTGGATTCCAAGTATTATACTTCATTCTTTAATAACAATTTAATGGAATAACTTGTCACTAGGTCCCCAGGAAAGAAACCATAAATTTGAATATGGTAGTAAGCCGGTCTAAAAAGGAACACCCCCCTCCCCCCCCCCCCCCCAAGCGTGATAGCTGCTTATTGTAACTGCCCCATCCCCTCATACCAAAGAATAGCTGGCTCCTCCTGGGGGGTGTTTCACAAAACTTGTCATCAGTGACAAATGACAGTTTCTGTTATAAGCTACTGAAATCCTTGCTTCTGATTGGTTATCAGCAGATTTGTCACTGCTTTTTGTCATTTGTCATTGAAAAAAGGCTTTGTGAAACGGGCCCCTGATGTTTGTGTCAAGAATTTTGAGCAGGTGGAGTTGAAAAGAACAAATTGAACAGAGTCATTATGCAAACATGGCACATCTGTGTCCTGCCAAGGAATAATTTGTTGAACAGTCTGAACAAAGACACAAGTGGATGGTTTCAAAGTTCATTTCTGAATATAAATCTTCTTGCTTCATTTCGTGGCAGTCATAGCAAGACTGGTATTCATGTATTTCTGAAGTTTCTAACATTGCTAAATACACACCGGGGAATACCTTTTCATAACTCAAGAATGAAAGCTGGACTACCGGTAGTTGAATTCAGGCCTTTTTTAATACTGTTAGATGTAAGATTTTATATCACTTTTTGAACATAAATCAGGTCAAATTAATTACAAAACTTGGTAAGGGTATGAATGATTTAGTTGTTAACTGTATGTTAAATGGAAGTACATAATAGGACTCAATATTCATCACACATCCAAAATAAAAACGTTAAAAAAAACACCACTATAAAATAGATACTACTGTAGCCATTCTTTCCATATACATGTACATGCAGGGAATAATTTTCCTGGTATCGCATCGCAATTTGCTATGCATTTTTGCATGACTGCTATACAAAATATCTTTTGTGTAGCAGTTTTCTTCCATAGAAATGTACAGAATTTCATTTGAAATATTTATCCATCGGCTAAAATTGCTAATCAAAAAAATTGAGGAAAATTGTTCCCTGACATGTATTACAAGCTTTTAATTGCCTGGGAAATCAACAAATAATCCAAATAAATCTATAACTGAGGCATAGAGAATTTTTATAAAAACCTTATGTTCAAACAACATATATCTATGTTGAACTGAAGAACATATTATTAGGGCTCAATATCCATCGCACATCCAAAATAAAAACATTTTAAAAACCACTGCTAAAAGATAGATACCGGTACTATAGCCATTCTTTCCACATACCGGTATCACAAGCTTTAAAATGCATTGGAAATCCACTCATAATCCATATAATTCTATACCTGAGGCAGGCATAGAGAGCTTTTTGAGCAAAGATCATAGGCGATGTTAAAAAGGAAGCTGGATATCATTAAGAGACAATCACCACCAACAGATTGGTCAAGGGTGACTCTATAGTAGAGTGCATTGCTGGGTCAACGGTAGGAATCTGCTGCAATGTATGCAACAATGCACCAGTATTTACCACACTGGTTTGGCTCGACCATACATGTACCACCAAGTATATTACTATGGTGAAGCAATCAAGCTACCGACCGAAGCACTCAGATTGTAATTGTAATTTGCACAAGATTTTATTGCACTTTTGACACTATTTATTTGAAATTTACATGATAATCTACATTTTTGTTATTCAATTCTTTAAAGAGCAAACACTTTTGAGACATACTTCAGGTATTCAATTTTTAACAATGTTTGGTGGAAAATTTGTCCAAAAGGTCATAGGACTAATAAGAGTTTAAAGGTGGTAACAATCTGGTTGAATCTTTTTATGGGATTGCTCTTCTTGTACTGATGATATCTAGGATTTTTTTAGAAATGTGTATAATTTTATGAAATAATTTGTTATTTGAATTCCACATCATTTCGTTAAAATGATGTTTAAATGATAAGTATTCCACAAGCTTGAGTAAGGATCCTTGCCTGATCCATAAAAACATTCTTGTTGGAACTGTTGCCTTTGGTCCTTCACCAACTTCAAGGAGGCTGCTCTACCCTCCATCAGAATGATGCAGCCCCCTGTTGGTTCCCACATCATATAAGCTTACTAGCTTGGTTTTTACTTGCACTGGACTTAGCATATTTTACTGTAAATTAAGGAGTGCTTTGTCCACACACCATACCTGCAATTCATGACACTCCTTGTAGTTACTCGCCTCACCTACCATCCCAGTATAGCTTCCTGAGTAAGCTGCCAAAGGGATTACCCAACCAAGTACCAAGTACTGAACTACTGTACACTGTATGCTTGCTGCCTACAATTTCTTCTATGCCAGTCTTGGGGCATGTCCTTAACCCCCAATGCTATGATAAAAGCTATCACATAGGTTGCGCAAATATTCCTATCTGATCTGAAAGGACATTTTTGTTGAACTGTTGCCTTCGGTCCTTCAGTGAAGTAGGCTTGCTGCCTACAATTTCTTCTATGCCAGTCTAAGGGGTCTGTCCTAACCCCCAATGGTATGATCAAAACTAAATCACATAGGTTGAGCAATGATCGTTTCCTACCTGATCAGAGAGGACATTCTTGTTGAGCTGTTGTCTTCGGTCCTTCAGTGAACTAGACATGGCATCTACAATATTTTCTAAGCCAGTCTAAGGGGTCTGTCCTACACTTAACCTAAACCCCCAATGGTATGATAAAAACTATCACATAGGTTGCGCAATGGCCAATTCCTACCTGATCTGAAAGGACATTCTTGTTGAACTGTTGTTTTCGGTCCCTTGATGAGCTGGGCATGGTGTCCACAAGGTCTTCTATGCCAGAGTCTTGGGGGTCTGTCCGAACGACGGGTATAGTGGAACCTGGAGGTGGGGTGTGGTGGGGCATTACAGCATTGGCTTGGTAGTGCCCCATCCTGAGCAGACAAAAAAAAGGGGAAAAGATGTTGAAGTTGATGTTGTTGTTTGCTTCTGGACCCAAACATTGGTGTTGTGGTAAGTCCAACCAAAACCAAAACCACAGAAAACTAAAATCACACTGAATTTTCAAAAATTTGATATTAATTACCTATTTAAACAAAATTCTATTCTTTGTGCGACAAATGTCACAATCTTTTTTTGGTCGAATGTATTCAAAAGAAATTTGTTTTCAAGTCGAAGAAAAAAAATAATACACCAAAGCCTTTATTCTGTTTCAGACATTCTCTACATGTGTGAGTCCTTTAAGTGCAAGAAATTGTAAATTCAAAAATATACACATCATAAAATGTGTATTTCCTGCCATGCCACTTATGCTCTACAGAAAATACAAGTCATAATAGCGTCTGTAAGTATAAATTGCCTTTCTTAAAGATCTGTTCTGGAATGATTTAGGCAGCAACTCTTGTTTCGATTAGCTATTAACATCTGCTATTGTTGACATTAGATTGTCATTAGATTATGATTAAGTGTTCTTTGTGCAATCATAGCTATAAATGTGACATGAATGCTGCACATTTGATATCCTTGAGCCCATCAAACTCTAAATGTATACAGAGTCACAAACAAAATTCTTCCAAAAAGTTCATGATTCAATTTTCATCACATAAATTTGTCACAAAAATATTGACGATATTATGAACTGACAAATATGAGCATTGATATATTACAGATTCCTCAGTTAATAAAAACATGTGGAAATATATGTGATTATGAGAAGGTCAGCCCTACATATGCCATTGATTTGCGTCCTGTTCCCATTCTTTAATCTTAGGGAACAATTGGCTAAATAATACAAAGATAAAAGGATTTAATCACCTCATAAATGTTGAAAAAGTTGAAAATGGGTATTGAGGGCTTATGAACTGTAGGGGAATTGTCATCAAGAAATTACTTACTGGTATTTCTGGAAGTAAGAGTCAATCTTCTCCACTGTCCCAACAGACCTGATGAGAAAAATGAAATAAAATAGAGATTTATTTAAACAAACACAAAAAACAATCTTATTTTCAATATTTCTAATTTCACAGACCTTTTTAAAAATGTATTCAAATGTATACATTTACCTTGTGACGAGCTAATTACATTCACCTGTTACACAGTATCGTTATATCTCAGTAGTCAAAATATGAGTTCATGATACTGCTTGTTGCTAGGTTGGGCAAACATTGTGGCATTGTCCTACCTAACAACACATAATATTGCAATATATGCAAAAAAAGGGCACTTAACAAAAGCGGAAGCATTAAATTTGATTGACAATCACTTAATGCAATAACAATTTCAATCAACAGTTAATTTTGCCAGTAATTTCTGAAAACGTTCAACTCTCAAGTTTGAAACACATCATTTGAAACTTCATCTACCCAAGTAACAAGTGTACTTGTAGAATGTGGTACTTTCCACAACTTTTGAGACTTTTAAAAGGGGAAAGAAAACTTATTGGGCAATAAATGCCAACAATTCATTTTGGTACGAGTAAATGAAAAACATAATACATCTGTACATACATTTTCAATCACTAAAAGTTCAAATTGTTCTACTGCTAAACACATCAAGCATTTATGAAGAAGTAGCTCAAGCTTTTGATCTTGCTTCCTTTATTTGAGTATGCCTTTGCGAGCTGAATCATATTTTGACCAATCAAATGCAATATTTTGTCATTGATAAAGATTTTCCTGTCAACCGGATATTTGTGTGGATACTAGCTCCCACGAAATAGCCATCATTTCGTAGTCTTATTCTCAAAGGCCTTTTGAATGCACAATTGTCTGTGTCGTTACTTTTAGGTTCTGTTTGAACTATTTTTACTGGTAAACATACACTTCTCGAGGTTTATTTCAATAATTGGTTGAAATCTACCATTATTTGTATGTTACAAGTTTACATAAAAGTACACTGTACAGATGTATGTACCTTATTATAAATGAGTTAGTCTCTTAGACAAAACAGGGACTAAGTCACAATACTACCAGAACTTGTGCTTCCGGATATAAAACTTAGGATTTTTTCAATAAAATTAGGAAGGAAGTTCTGACGTCCTCACTACTATACCAAATATGGGAAATGGGAAGTACCTGTCTGTTACCATATGATACCAGTTATTTCTCTTACAACTTTCATGTACTCCCTCATCCAAAAAAAAATAAAAAAATAAAAAGTACTTTAATATGAGACAGTATATAATATTAAACACATTTTAATTTTCTAAACATAAAAATTCCCCAAGAAGTTGGAGTACATATAATTGTCTGTTGACAGTTCAATGTTCAGATCAAAGTGAATTTAACTTTCATTTCTGAAAAAAGCATGGACTCTGAATCCATCATTCCTGCAAATACCAGCATTTTATATTGAGAAATGTTGATCGGGGATTCCCTCAAAAGGGCACCTTCTGACCTTAATATGCATACAATGGTATGTACTCCATGTATACAAAACTACACCAATACCTAAATATAATTTTTGTCGGGGCCTATTGTGCACAACACTTTATGAAGAATATTTTGAAATAAACATACAGCAATGCTAACAACATAAATATTTATTGATCCTATTGAAGCCATGACAAATTTGCTCCCAGCCAATCAAATGCCACTATTTCAGTAGCTTAAAACGGTAATTGTAACTTGTTATACATAAAAAGTTTTATGAAGCAGGGCCCTGCATGGTTCCAAACAGATGACAAGTACAAGCTGCTCTATTGACTATCAATTGTTGATTTGGTTTGGTGGTTTCATTCAATAGCATGTTTGGACAAGCACCCAGGTATAATATAATTATATCACCTGATTTTATGACCAACGTTCCTCCAATAATTCTTTAATATACATGTATGTTGTACCAGGGAGGTGACAGGACAGACTTACACTAGACCGACAAAATAACAGAACAAAATATATTGAAGGCTGATAGTAGTGTTTTTTCTGTGTTCTCAGCTTCAGAGACCTTTGCGCTCACAGACACAATAAATGGTAATTCAACCAAATCTGGTGTCAGCAAATTATGATTTAATACACATGGACACTGAATACTAGGTGACTTTAAATAACTCTTAATGGCCATGAGTCTGTTTGGACTTTGGAGTTGGTTATAGGCAGTGTGGCTGTAGTCCTGAAGTTTGAAATGTTTGTTCTAAAATATGTTGAGGTTCGTGTATATGTCAGGCCTATATACTATATTTAGCAATTCTTTCTAAATCTTACAGATATCAAATTAGACATGCATCTATCAAATTCACTATTATTTGGTAATTTAGTAAGCCTACAAGAAGATGTACCTATAATCTCATTAATTAAAAATGGATTTTATTGCACATTGGCAATGGTACATGTAATACCAATTATGTAATCATGCAACAGTGTAAGGTACCATTCAACTATATGAGACAACAAATTCATACCTGTACATGATTTTATCATATCGTACAAATTTATCAGCATAAAAACAAGTTCACTAAACTTTTCACTTGAAAGTCAAAGTCCAGCTGATAAGAATTTAGGTTATCAGAAATGTCCGCATATTGGTTCAACACTGCTTTATCTGTTGTTTTTTTCTACTTGAATTTAGCCAGAGTGAGCTTAATCATACTCTACCAAAGTTATTAAAAGACAATCAGATTCTAAAGTTCAAAATGGTGGGCAGTATATAGCACCTCTCCAAATATTGCGCCATTTTTTCAGAAAGTAAACACTGCGTATTTGTCAACAAGGACAGGTGTGTTATATGACACGTTTCGGGGATGTTCTACTTGTACAATGTACACTGTAGGTGTACTGTATGTCATCTCTTCTTTTTTACAAGGACTTGATTTATTTAATTTTCAGAGTATGAATTATATGAACAGTTTAACAAAACCCCTCAAAAACAATTTGGAAACTAAGGTGGATCAATTACCGGTATAGCTTTCTTAAATCATGGCATAATCATTAGTTCGATTATCATCATAGAAAGGGTGTTTATTCCTCTTTAAACTGATACCGTATTTGTTATGATTTTGAAGGGTCAAAATGAAATATTGCAAAATGAACTAGTTAGCACTGGTATAGTTATTTAGAGCACTCTAAATCCTTCTTTTTTTTTTTACATAAGAGAGTGCGATTTTTGTAAATGACAGTGGGGCTATATAAGTGGTCATCCATGAGTGCCAATTGATATTGACAAATTTCTTATCAAGTTTCATGGGATAACAAAAAATTTACTAGTATCCACATTCTGAAACTGAAAGTAGTTTCATCATCAATTCAAAAGTTATCTTCAGATATATGTATATATATAGCCTACTACGAGGGTATAGTTAAAGATAAGAAAATACTTTACAGATAGTCAAATTGGATAGTTCATTGACGAACATCTGATAATTAACAAATTACAATGTATACTGATCGAGTTGGGCAGGTACATGTAGCATTGCAACTGCTACATCAATTAAGTTCTCACAAGCAAACTTGCATATTAATGAATATAAATTGATTTGATATACAGTCAAACCCATCTAAAAAGGCCATTCAATTGAAACAGAAAAAGTGGCCACTGTCGACAGGTGACCTTTCAAGACAGGTTCTACAACACATAATTATTTCTAGAGGGAGGCAACTACATGACCACTAAAGACAGGTGGCCTTTTAATAGAGAGGTGGCCACTATTAAAGACAGGTTTGACTGTAACACCCATTTACCAAATACTCTAGTCCATATTATCTCAGGTTTAGTGGTATTCAACAGAAATATAAAGCCTACAGTATGTATTGTAAACCTAAAGCTGGCCCTGGCCTATACATGTGAGTCTAGCTAGCTTTAAATGCAACAAATAATACCATAGTCTAAAGGCGCTTTGTTCAACTCGGCTAAGACCAACCCAGGGTCAGATTAAGTACTGGGCTATATGCACGCATGTATGTCAATATACTTTACATGTACTGTACATGAGGGAAATAAACCATGGGTATTTGGCTATAAATGGATGATCCCTTGCAATAAGGGAGTTTACAGATAGCACATGGTACAAATGACCCCAAATATCCACAGATCTTTTACACATGGAGAAGTTCCACTTTGAGCATCTTAGAATAATAACTGCCAAAGTCCTAGATGTGCTTCATGAATACCTTTTGTATGCCCTCTTGAAAAAAAATACTTCCACCTGCGTATCTTGAATGTACCGTTGGTGCATAAATGAATAACTCATGAGCGCATTTTCGGTATATTCATCTCTGTGGGTTTTACCTTTTTGGTACAAATGACCTTTATCTGCTCATGCTCAGACTGCAACCGTAAACTGGCTCATTAGTCCCATATGGCATATGACATTTATCAATTTCTTCCATCCGAGAATTTGAAAATGCTAATTTCTGATATCACTAAAATTATTAAATGGTCAAGAAATTTCTCATTTCTTGGATGAAGAAAATGGATTTCTTGTGGGACATATTGCAAGAAATTGCGCTATAATGCTTAATAATAATAAATAACCATTTCTTATAAAGCACTTTACCACTAACAACTGACCAGAGCGCTTACAGTATTATCATAACCCAGATCACTGGATTCAATTACTATTCTGCACATTACAGTGCACATTTCCACTCCCTGAGGAGCATTCCAGCTACATATAGTCGCCTTTTACAGGCATGCATATGCTAATATAAAAACATTGATCTTCGCATCCTACTGGTTCCCATCTAATAGCACCTGGGTGGAGAGGAACAATGTCAATAAAATGCCTTGCTCAAAGACATAAATGCTGTGCAAAGGCTTGAACCAACGACCTTTGCATTTGCAGTCAAGTGATTAACCTGTCGACTACATGACATCTTTACATCACACACATGGTATTGATCTTCTGTTATTTTTCATAGCTGAGAATCAAATGTACACATGGGCAGTGTTTTAGCTCTGTAAAGCTCAAAAGCTCTGGAAACTCAAACACATATAACACAGTATATTTCATTTTTTTCAATTTTGCTGTAGCCTAAAAATGCATGAGCTTCGGTTATAAAAAAGAAAAAAGGAATATGCCTGTATATTATAGCAGGGAAGAAATATCCCTTCTTGGCAAGATATTGATCTACATTTGCCACACTCCACCCAGGTGAAGTAAATGGGTACCTGGTAGGAATTTATTCCTTGAAATGCTAGAGCGCTATAATGGCAGCACAGCTAAAGCCAGGGTAATAATATCCAAGTTTGGAAGCGCTTAGAGACTTATTGTGATTTGCGCTATATAAAAGCTGAATATTATTATTATTATAATGCGGCAATCCCAAATATTACGTAGCTCCTGTGAAAAACAAAAAGTAATTTTGAAACTATAAGTTATTTGAGAATTTACTTACAACTAGTGCTGTAACATCACGGATATTCTCCAATTCCATTTAACCGCCAGTTAAAACCGGACGGTTTTCGGTTAAACGATTTAAAATTTTAAAAAAATAAATAAATAAAAAAAAAAAAATTATTAAAAAAAAAAAAAAAAAAAAAAAAAAAAACGGGAAAACGAAACCGTCCAATTAAAAAAGGAATCCGCCATGGGCGGTCGGATACCGGACGGTTAAATGTTTGACTACAGCACTACTTACAACAGACGCTGACTATCATAATTATAATCCATCATGGCTGTATATCTTGGTAAATATCCTCACAAAAGAAAATGAATCCTTTCTCTCAGAGCTGATCGATCATCGAAACAGAAGCAACAACCGGTACGAACAAAGCACTGAAAAATTGGATGAGAACTTGAAACCAATCGGGACACTGTTTACAAGGCTCATCTCCGTAAAACTAGCAGGATCAAAAGCTCGCTAAGTACATCTACTCAAGTAAAACACAAGGATAGTAGGTATACAGCTCTTTTTCAACAGCTGATTTTCTGGAGTGGATCTGCTCCGCAAATGGAAGAGAAACTTGTGACGCTATCCATTCAAACCGAGCTGAACAAGCTGCCTTCTCAGGTTCATTTTCGCAGCAATACCGATACAAGTTTCTTAACGAGCTACATGCAGAGACAGAAACCATCGGTACCATCACGTGAACGGAGTGTGACCCTGTCCAACTTCTTGAGAATATGTCCGCACAAATGACGTAACATTTATTCACCAGCGTCCAGACACAATCTCCCATAAAAATGTCCCCAAATGGATACCCGTGGTCAGAACGCAAACAGAGATCCTCGCTTGGAACTCGGTAAAACTTTAAGTCACGTTATCAAAATCTCTTGACTGTTTTAGCGCACCCTTGATGAAATCACAAGATCTCTGATAAGAATGAACTTTGGGCTATATATTAATTGAAGAAGGGCCTGTTTTCATTATAGCCTGAGTTGTTGAAATAGCTCACTAATACCTACATGTATCCGAAAGAGATTAGCTCAATCAGGCAATCACAACCACATTTTTCACATTGAATAAGCTTGAGATATTCAAAGTAAAAAGGCAAACATCAAGCTGTTTTTTCATGCTTGTGCTTGGAACATTACACCATGTAGCTCAAGATATTATCTCAAGCCAAGTGCAGCTTAATTGCAGTATGGATTACTGTTTAATTCGACTATCCTGCTAATTTGGCAACGAAGACGCACTTGAAGAGTCAAGTGACCAATAAAAACAGAAAAATTGACCACATTTTTAGAGAGCAAGCATTTACACTGCAAACAACTGTGAAATTTGGCAGGCCTTTAAAAAAAAAACACTTAAGAGGTGGGTCTTTTTATTTGTGTTTAAAATATTAAAGTAGCAACTTCCGACGAAACACAGGAACGTGAGAAAAATCAATGATTTCTTCTTGCAGGCATGCAGCGAATGTAATTTTTGTTTGATCTGTTAAATCGGTCCAGGGTCGGTCTTGGTGCTATTGACATACACAGGTACAATGAAGATGTATCCAAAGATAGCATGTGATCCCATGATCTGTCACAGCAAACCTTTTCTTTATCTGGCGCTGTAAAGTTCAGAGTCAACAGCATAATGTCCAATAGGTTAGAAATATCGTTATCAATTGTATTTACTCAAATCTTGATTGAAGTTCAATCCCATATTGCCGGCTGAGAATCAAAAGGGTGTCAATTCTGTAGAAGGTGCTATCGGTTTGCACCCTTCCAGGGAAAAAAATACATGAAGGCTCAGGGCGAATTTGCCCCCAAAGTGCCAAAAAGAGCCCCCGAAAGTTATAAAAGAGCCCAAAAAAATTTGCATAGAGTTCAATGCAAAACAGATTAAAGAGTGTTATTTTTTCATGCAAGCAAGCTTGAAAAGTATAACCCCCAAAATGTTTAATTTTTTTTTTCCCAGCACCCTTCTGGCTCTCAGCAGACAACATGCAGTTTAAAGTCCCATCACCTTTTGCGTATTAACCCCTCCACTACCAAATTATCTCATTCTCATAGGCTTAATACAGGGTCCACCTGGTTCCGATAGACGATTGGTTAACAAACAATGATTTGACAGAAAAGAAAATTCCAGGAAAGCAAGATAAAAGGTCCTGTGAATTAAATGTATTTGTACCTACTGCACACAAAGATCTGTTGGGGTTACAGGGCATCTATTTAACAAAAGGAAAATTGATTTCTGGATGCAGTTTCGTGTCTGGAATTTTTGAAAATGAGAAGGGGTTTGATGTTACGATGTTATAATGTGATTTCAATATTTGATATTTGATATATTCCTCTTACATAATGTTATTGGGTCAAATCTTTAACACAAATTTTATTGATTTCATTCAATTTGTACCTGCACTTTAAGGGGTAAATAGCAAGCACATTATTTCACAATGCTATGAATTCATGATACAGTAGAAGAAATATACAATGAAAACATTAAAAAGTGCACATTTTATCAAACAGGTTTCCAGTTTTACAGATGTTTGCCCCTGGGGCAATTTTCTGGGGGATTTACCTTTGTGTACACTGTACATGAAGTTTTCCACAGAAGAAACTTCAATTTTGTACATTTACCACAGTTCTTTTTTGTTTTCATTAAACAAATTAACATCCATCATTGATATGTTCTACATTGTTGGCAATAGTAATTGCACAAGTCTATGATGGTTTGTTGAAAGTACTTAAACTAACAGAAACATGTACTGGGGAAAGACATTAAAGAATTCACATTAAAATGATGTTAACATTGAAAGTTTGAAAAATGAAAAATAACTACCGTGCCTGTACATACAGTTGACACTGACCATACACTTACATGTATGTGTGTTTGCATGTTTTTTAAAGGAAAAAACCAATTTAAAACATAACAAATTATGGTTCTTCAATTCAAATTGTAGTTGTATTCCATTCAAAAATCATGACTACATGTGTATCTTACCTGATTGACAGATATTCATGGTGATAATTTCTTCTGTTTGCCATTTCTAAAGACATATAGTCAGTCATTGATATTCCCGACAGAAAATGGTGTCCGTATTAAAAGTCACTGTCATATACAGTATATTTATGAATTCAAAGCAATACATGTTCAGGTAGTAACAATATCACAAGCCGCCACTCCCTAAACATATAATTGCGAGAATTGTCAACTCTGATATGACAACGGGTGTTCCAGAAAATGTAGGCATGAAGAAAATGCATTACTTGGTGCATCTAAAGACAGCCAATAATAGGCCATTTTCATTGTGTAATAAAATGTAATGCATTTTTTAAGTCTTTTTGTTAAGCGCCTCATTTCAATAGTTAGAAAGTGAATTCCATACATTGTATGTTGCTAGTTTTCCATTCTTTGTATGACTCTGCTCCTTCCTACAATATCAAGTTAATTGTTAAGTATAAGCCTACAAGACATCTTCGTTCATCTCAATCCTCCTTATTAGTTGTCCCTAAGACGCGCAGTTCCTGGGGGGATAGAGCATTTTCTCATTCTGGTCCGTCCCTTTGGAATAAGCTGCCACTTAGTATTCGTAATTTAACTACCCTTCATGCCATCAAAGTTGCTCTAAAAACCCATCTCTTTCTAAACAGTGCTATTTAATCATGTCAATGTAGCGTAATAATTTGTGTTGTTTTAGTTTACTTTATTTTAGTTAAGAAAGTTATATTTTTTGTGATAGTAATACATGTATGTACAGCGCCATGAGCGTCAGAGCCTTGCGGATACCGGCGCTATATAAATATCCATGTTATTATGTACATTGTATGTACATTAAGTTGTTGCTAGGTAGAACAAACATTATGGCTTGCCCTACCTAACAACATGTAATGCAATTTGCATTCTGACTACCGGTATTGAAATACAATTATTTGTAACAGGTGAATGAAGTAATTGTTAACGAGGCACTTTACAAAGATTTATGCATTGAATTTGATTATATTACAAAAATGATCTACACATGTAGTCTCTATTATAAGATATCAGATAGAAGCACAACTTACTACAATGCACATTAGAATTGTCCATGCAGGCCTCATGTGTCAGAGAATATATACCAGCAGGCCCATCTGAAAGGTCCAAGACTATGCATGAAAACCCTCTCAGGTGTGATCAACCTACAGAACCTGTCCTCTATCATCCAACAGAAGGGAATTACCGGTAAGGGTTCATTTCAGCAAGTCATCCATTAATTGCCTTGGACCACTAAGATCTTGGTTCAATATTAGCTCAGACCACACTGCTACATGTATGGTGTCGACCAACAAAACAAATCAAGCACACCCTCGCTCACAATCAATTTAATGCAATATAGCTCTTTGGTTCATCCATATATTATCTATGAATTGATAATACCAATATGTCAATAATTATGTAATATCATTCAAATTTCTAATAGTCCAACCAATTCTAAGTAAGCTCTGAGTACACCTTTAGTATTTAGAGTAGTAGGCACTTCCATGACTTCACTTCAATGTAGAGTACCTGTATGTACATGTAGTAGTACAGTAGGTACACGAAATGTATCCTATTTTTGGTCCTTATGCAATATTGAGACAAGAGCTTACAATGTCTGCTTCAATCTATAAGCCCCATTCATAAGGAATGATGTCATCACGTATCCTTTCAAAGTCCCATTCTCTGAATGGACCTACGTCATACAGCAAAGACCAATATCTAGACCCCTATTCAATTCATTATCAGGTACCAGTAAGCCTACCTCCTTAAGCCAGTTTTTTACCGCAATTTCAACCCAAAAGCTGGGCGCTTTTGTTCAAAACTTGATTTAAAAGGTCTAAGGTCTAAATAAGTCTTCCATATATACACAATTTATGCATATATTTTGAACAAAGGTTGTTTTTGACAACTTGAAAACTTTCCTAATATTCCTAACAGCCCCCACTAATACAAGTATAATTATACTTAATGAATGAAACGACTGGATAACCCATATTCAGCTTTGCCAGCTAGCTAGGGACCACACTACAGGTCTTCCCGGCGCGGGTCCATGGGGGATGGGGGGGCGGGGCGAGAGGGTCTTGACCCCAAACCGCCAACAAAAAATGAAGAGAGAGAGTCAGAGAGAGAGAGAAGGTAAAGCGGAGAGTAAGGGAAAGGAAGAAGAGGAAGAAGAAAAGAAAAGGGGGAAAAGATGGAGATCGGGGGCGAAAGGCCTTCGCCACCCCCTCCTCCCTCCCCTCAGCAAAAGAGAGATAGAGAGAGAGAGAGAGAGAGAGAGAGAGAAAGAAGGAAGGAAAAATAAGGGAAAGGGAAAGAAGAGACAAAGGGAAAGGAAGAAGAAAAGAAAAGGGGAAAGAAGGAGATCAGGGGGCCGCCGAAAGGGCTTTACCTCCCAGGCTGTTGCCCCCCCCCCCCAAGCAAAAAGAAAGAGAGAAGGAAGAGAAGGAAGAGAAGGTAAAGAAAAAAGGGAAAAGAGGAGATAAAGGGAAAGAAAGTAAAGAAGGGGGATATCAGTTGCAGTTTTCCGCCAACAAGTTGGGGATCGGGGGGGGGGGGGCAAATGGCCCTTGTTCCCCCCCCCCCCTTCTACAGCAAACTTAAAAGAGAGAGAAAGGAAGAGAAGGGAAAGGGAAAGAAAAGAAAGGTACGGGAGATCAATTGTGATTTTTCCCACCAATGCGGTGTGGATCGGGGGCGAAAGGCCTTCGCCTGCCCTCCCCTGGCAAACAAAAAGA